TCCCTAAAAGCGCAGCCCGCGCTTACCATATGGGCGGAGACAATCAGCAACTGTTCCATTCCTGCGGTGATGGAGAGAGGGATGGTTAGGGAGACATAGTGGTTTACTGTCTCCGCCCATATGAGCAATGTGGACAGGCCAAAGCAGTAATCAACGAGGTAGCTCTTTTTGAAACTGAAACCGCAATGAGAACAAGAGTCCCGTAGCAATTTCTAGAGCCAACAATGTAAGGTTCTGTAAGCGAACGAGAAATAGTTAGCAGGAGACAAATAATTGACAAATTAAGAAGGAGTTACATAGTTCAGTGAAGCAAAAAAGAGTTTGTAGAGAGCATCATGGTTTCACGGCATCGATTTTGCCCCCATTGCCACACACCTTCGCAGCTGTTGCTGGCGCTATTGATAAAATCAGATCAAATCAAATAAGCGAAATCATGTCTTGCCACATAACGACCACGGTAGCAAGCGAAGACTGACAATCTTGGATGGCAAAGGTAGTGCCAAGTGGGGCTAATTCTGCCTCGGGGGCAAAATTCCATTTCAAATTAGGACACGTCATTCGTCAGCGGGGAGCCGTGTTGGTCGCTGAAGGGGGAGGGGGGGGGCACTTTGCTAGCAAAAATTTTTTCTGATTGTTGGTTTTCCTGTTTCACGTGCGTTTTATTCCCTACTCGTTTCTGACTGCTGTTGAGACGTGCCTACCAGGGTACGTCGTATGTTGGGAACCCACAGGAAGGAGTCTCCTTGCTGGAGAAAGGGGTTCATATTTGCCCCTGTCCAAAAACGGTTTTGGCCGTCTTTTCCGGATATTTCCCGTTTTACTCGAGCTTCCCCCCTCTCCTGGCGCTTAAAGGCACGGTCCGCGATAAAATAAGGCTAAGTGCTCTCAAATGTGTACGACGAACAGGCAGGTACACCGCAGACGATGTACTGGCTGCAAAAGTAGAAAACTAGCAAGTAGAGCAAAGGTTTTAGGCCCATTGGCGCCAGTTAGGCCATGCCGAACCTCCAATACGCGGTGTCAATCGTGACGTAGGCGCATGTGCTCTCTCGGAGGCCGTTTCTGGTCTCTCTCCTCTCATCAGTGTGTCGTCGTCCTTTGCATCGATCTTGACCGTCTTATGGCTCGTCCGGTGATCACGATCCATTGCAATAAAGAGAGTCTTATTGCGGGCGGTTTTTTGAACTTCAGTATTCTTCAGTAGGTCAACAAGCGCACAGCAATCCTATTTTTGAACTGTATTATATATGAAGTGCGGTCGCGGGAACTGCCTTTAACGGCAGTTGTTCTTCTGGGAGGGGATGAGGAGAAGCTGGAGAAATTGTGGAAAAAAGAAACACCGGAAAACTGTAAAGAAGGGGAGAATTTGGGAAAATGGTTGGTAGGATAGAGCACCAGGGAAGAGAGGTCAGATTAAAAGATTAAGAATTTATTTAGGAGCTTAGTAAAATAGGAAATTCTGGGGGAGTTGTTTTTTCCCAGAAGTTTAACGGCAGGACGTGCCCTAGTACTTATCCCTAAGGTACGCCCTGCCGTTGCGGTAAACTGGTCCCCCGTTAGCTCGGCGCCAAAACTTCAGGGAATTCAGGGTGATGGTCGGTCGACTCCCAAAGGTGGAATCGTAGGAAAAAATTGTTGGGTGGTGAGAGGGAAGTCCTAGTTACCGAAAATTCTCTCCAACGCAAGATCGGCCCTATCTGAACCCTATCGAAACACCGTCAATCGTCCATGTCCAGGGAATGCAGGTTGCTGGTAGCAACCTGACTCACCTACCCAAGAGCTTTCTAGATCCACTATACAGTTTTGCAGTGATACGACTTGAAATAATGAGATCACGGGAAACTACGCCCATTTCAGAGAAGGAGCTGATTCGGAAACGTCGTGAAGAGCTGAAACATGCACAGGATATCCGTGAGATGTACGAAAACAAGCTGAAACGAACCAACAAAATGTACTCGAAGCTAACCGATTGTATGAACGAGTTGTTATTGAAGGAAAAGGTAAGCGATTCAAAAATCCTGCTGCACTTGGTTGTGGACGGGGCCAAGAGTATTTTTTCTGTCTCTCGGGTGAATGTCATAAAACCGCTGGTGCTAGCACGTTCGTTTCTTCAATGTTTCCTGTGATAACTGCGCTGGAGGCTGTCGGCATAACACGCGGGGGTCGCGACGCGGCGCAACTGACGTAATTGGGTAGCTCAGCAGAACCATCACATTTGTCCACCATGCAGCATGACTTTATATTATTTGCCTTAATCGACTTATAGCTAATTACAAATGACCTATTTACCGAACAATTTCGCTAATACCGATCGATACCTATGGAATGTACGTAGATGATTTCTCAAATCTCATCAATATTACTGTTTAGGAACTAGAGCAGCGTATCCGTTTATGGGATGAAACGCATCGTTACGCATCGTTCTACCCGAGTACGAGCGGCACACGTCCTACCGTAGTTCGAGCTGGACCACGGACTATGAGGGGATCAGAACAAGAGTGAGTCAGTTTACTACCAAGGTTTCTGTAAAATAAACATCGATTAGCAATCAATGAATAATTCAAAAGCCCCGCCTTTTTTCATTTCGTCAAAATTCTAAGCCCCTTTTCCAGCATCTATTGTACTGCTATCGATCCACATACCTATGGTATGGAAGTGTCATCGAGTGAGGAGGATCTAGTCGATTATCACCGTAACTCTCCTTATCGATGCAGTCAGGCGAGCAGGTATGCGACACCCTTGTCAGTCAGACATGCAAAAAAACTCGCTCGGGGGCATTCGAGAACCACTGGGAACCAGGACTCACAGTGTGCTGAAGTAACGGTCCAGCTCCATCCATCTAGAATTCAACACCTTTTTGAAGGCCCCCCTTCTATGCATTAAAGATGGAGGAAATAAGAGAAAAATTATGCAAATGAAATTTCTGCAGCAAACCAAATTATCGTGTCCACTGCCTTTAGGCCTACCTACTAAGGTCAAACTTGCCCCTGAGTTTCTTAGTCTTCAAAACTTCTGTTCTGATCTGTCACTCCCAGAGCGTTCCCTTCCAGAGGTTTCTTGGCTACCACTACGAATACAAACACCCTTGCTGTTCTGGGCCAAATGTTTCGTCTCTGTTAAGCTCCTCGTCCATGGCAACGATGTTACCAGGGAGGGTCCATGGAGCATAAATCGAAAAATAAAAGGATGTGGAAACTTGGACCATATGTCGTAGCTCTAAGCACTTTATGGATTGCATAATTTTCAGTTCTGGAAAAATTCCCACGCAGAACTAGGGATTCACCCTCCTGGAATGGTCCGGGGTACCAGCTATGTCCTTGGGTAAAGGATTGTGACATGCAGACCACGTTATGCTCGGATCACGCATCCGCAAGCGACCAGAAGTTGACTTACCCACAAGGAAAGACGACGATCGGGTACTGCCGAACCTAAAGCCACAGTAGTCACGAGCTTGGCCAGTGTGAACCTGCAGAGCCTTATGACACAAAGCTATCAGCGGGTTACAACAGGCTATAAGTAGAAGATGGAGGTTCCGAATCGTGAAGAAAACGACACGTGGACTGGATTAATGATGAAATGACGAAATGACTGAGGAAATCATGACTAAGCTGCGGTTTCGAAACACCTATTCTATAGGAAACCGGTCCTTGGGACCTCACATATGGACCGCCGCCTACGGTAGCATACAGTGAAATTAGAGGTCCTCAACAGCCCTACGACGAACCTTTGATTCATTTTGCGTCTGATTCAAGCTTGGAACGCAAAATGAGTATTAAAATCCGCAGTAAAAGTTCATTACGTGGGTGGGAACATCAGAGTGTGTTAGTACTGATAGTTGACCGAGGAATAGTTGTCTGGTGCACTGTAAAAAGGGACAAGAAACAACTGAGAGTGATAAACTGCAGAACAATGAAGTCGGTTTCCTGAAAGGATCAAGATAAGGCACGATATGAAGCGAAGGTGTTGACTGGACGAGCGCTAAGAGAAGTGAGCCTCAACAGGCCCCGCCCACTGATGACTAGAATTCACGGCCTTCCGGGTCCGAGGTTCACGTGGTCAGTGGTGTTGAAACTGACTGAAATGACGAGTCATTCACCCGCACAGGTTATTTTGGGAACTCATTCAACCATGAATTTCAAAAATTGATTGAAACTAACTCAATAATAGAACAGAAAAGAAATAAAAATAATAGGCAGTCAAGCTTTGGACCACTGCTTGGTTGCTCAACTTTTAAATTTGGCCTGGAGGTAGCGCAATACTTAGAAGTAACGGATGAATGGTCCATTTGTACTCGCTTGTCTGGGATAGACCTGATCGGCTCTCACCATAAGTGTA